TGCCATTCATTACCGTGAGCACAGTTTATTGAAGGATGATGGGGAGAAGGGTGACGCGTGGTATGTGTGGGGCATTTATCCTGGTGGATCAAACTTGGCAGTGGCAATAGGTAAACATTTTGCATATTTGACTGAAATTGTCCACGGCTGCTGACTTCTGCCAGAATGAGAAATTTTTAGCAGCTGCCATTGGAATTGGAGAAGTCAGTGTGTAAAGGAGCTGTACAAGACTTGCGGGTTTCCACCCTAGCAAGCAGCTTGGTGCTCCTGGAAGCCCTGGGTGCAGTGCTGAGCATCGACCCCACCGCCCACGTGTGGCACCATTTGCCCGTGATGTTGGGCAGCCCAGGCTGCCTGGTGTTCGGCAAGGGATAGATGGCTTCCCGAGGTGCAGGAGAGCAGGCGGGAGGGCGAGCCTCTGCCCGGAGGGGAGAGTTGGCAGGTCTGCAGCGGTCCTGCCTCAGCTCACCTCTGATTTCTCTTCTCATCAGCGTTTGCAAACAAAAGGAGTCTTTTTGAAAGCCTACCTTGCACCCAGCGCTGTGCAATTACTGACTTGCTCTGTGTGCTTTATGGTGCTTTTGAGATTTGTTAGTTTAACGAGTAACTTCCAAAATATTTAATGACAAGAGAAGTGTGGTTTTACAGGAATGCGAACTAACTGGAAACACTAGTAGTTGTCGCTGCAGGAACAAAACCAGTTAACGAGTACACAAAGCTTTTCAAAGGTCATGGGGATCTCCAAGAGGCAAAACTGCAATGATAGCATTTCAAGTCATGAATTTATAGCTGATTAATCATTATAACATATGAAAGGTGCTGTCTAACTATCTTCTGGGCATCTGGGGAAGCAAAGGTTATGCAAGTAATTGGAAATAGCGTGTTGCGAGCTGCAGGTGGTTCTCCCCTGGACAGGTTTGTGTCACCTTTGACAAAGGGGAGTACGAACACTCACTATTCCATAATTTTACCTGATTATCTACAAACTGCCTAAATCTCTTGGGCTGGATCCCAGACTCTTCTTAGGCCAAGCGGTGACTAAGTTTGGTGGACCTGAGGGGCTTGCGTTTAAGACTGGACAATTACCAGCATTACGACATGCTTGAAATGATCCCGTTCAAGCAAGAGAATTGCTGCGTGGTTGCTAAATAAGAGCACTGGGGTCCTCCGAGACCTATCTCGGAGGTCCTATCTTTCCTATACTTAGTTTCATCTACCGCAGGCCCTGCTTTTCTTGAAAAAAGCATCCTTCCCTCCTGCAGCTTTCATGTGCCCTGCCCATCGCTTCAAGCAGAAGAGGGAAAATGTGTCTGAGGCTAAGGAAAGCAGTGGCAAACCTGGGGTGAGGAGAATAAACTGGATGGTGCAAGAGATGATGTTCAGCCCCTCTACCATCAGGTTAGGGGGATGAACGTTTGAGGGTAAGGGCTGGTCCTTAAAGCTAAGGCAAAAGAAAGTGCCTTCGTTTGCTTACGAACCCTGCTGCAGCTGCCTGGAGGTTTCTGGGTGTGGAAGTGCAAGTTCTGGCGTGTGTGTCGAGGGGACAAGGAAGCTGTCACGGGAAGATGGATCGGAGCAGACGTGCTCAGGCGTGGGCGTGCGTCGCTCAGCCGTCCGAGCAGCGCTGAGACTCGCGCGGACGTGGCTTCCTCACATACCAAGACACACCTCTTTTCATCCTCTTCCCCCACCACCAACACCTTATTTGTTTTTTTTAGGTTTTTAACTTCTAGTATTTCTCACAGGGCAAGAGAGCTTCCATACTGTCCCCTGTCGGGAGCTCTTAAATAATGCAGCCATCGAGTCAGAATTTAGTGGACAAGTAATGAAATTCATAACCTGAGTTTTCTACGGTAGCATTAACTGTGACACAGATTCATCACCAGCGTATCATCATTAAAAGGCAGTGGAATTGCATCGGGGATTGATGTGATCATATGCATGTAAAGATCAAGATACAAAAAGGTGTGATTTATGTAATATAAGCATAAGCTGTAATCCAAAACCCTTCCTACACGCAGTGTGACGGTTCCTGTTCCCAGAGCAGTGATGGCTTTTAAATTTACTGGGTAAATGCGTGTGTTTATATATTTTTATTTAACTCTTTTAAACATAGTGTTGTCTTAATCTTTTTCTCTCTTTTGTTTTTTTGCATTGAATTATAGTTGTAGTTGAATCTGCGTAATAGTTCAACGTTATTGAAATTCTTTATATTTTTGGAGCCTGGGTGTTATATGTCAGCACTGTATTGTGTTATCTTACAAGGAATATAGAAACACTGCCGTGTCTGATGCAGTCTTAGTGAAGGCAAATGTAGGAAATAAAAAAAGTATACATAAAGTAAGAAGATGAATGTTGTTCAGGCTTTATCGTTATTACAAAGGCTATCGGAATCGTAGAAGAAAAGGTGAACAAAAACTGTTCTTAGTTTTCAGGATGTGTTAGGTCTCCCCTTCCTACCCTTCAGTGATTTTTGCCCAAAAAGAAAGAGGACAGAGCTGGGCCAGTTTGGTGATGTGGATTGACCAGCAGCTGTGTCTCTGGTGGCCTTTGGAGGGGAAGGGACTTCAGGTACAGCTGCAGAGGGAGCTGTGCCGGCGTAGCACGGGAACGATGGCGCGGTTCCTGCCGGAATTATCTCCTGGTCTCTGGGAGCTCTTGGCAGCTGCTCCGAAGCCTGGCCTAAATAACGTGTTTGTCTTCCAGGAGGAGTTCAAAGCTATTGAGATAAGTAGTTGCTGAGGCCACCTGTTTGGCAAATTTGTCAATCAGCTCGTAGAGCTATAAGTAAACGGGGCTTTATTACAAAGGCTTATTGCTCTTTGTGCTTGTGTAGGAGTTTACATAATTTTCTAAGGAGCTCTTTTATCACCCAAGTACAGCGGAGATTAGAATTTACTTCTGGTGGCAGTTTGGAGCACTCGAGATGTGTACATGTTGGTCCTGGATGTTTTTTCAATGCAACAGACCGTACTTGTGCTCTACCCTGGGGTCCGGCAAACAAATAGGGGCATTGGCTTTAGGGGAATATTTGTAAAAGGAGGGGGGGGATCCAACTCCCCCCTAAACCTGACTGCAGTGGTAGCACTGAACCTTCACAAGAAGGTACCTTTTGTGTCCACCTTTCTTGGCCTTCTTTGAGTCTCTGTTACTCCAGACACCAGAATTGATGGTGTTCAAAGTTAGGCTTTAATCCGGTGGGGTGCTCAGCGTCCCAGCCCTGATCCAGCAAAGCACATCATTGACTTCAGTGCGGGTCTGTTCACACAGTTAAAGTCAAGTTCATCCTTAAAATACCTGCTGGATCAGGGTCAGAGTTCTCTCAGTTGCAAAGTCAAACCTTTAGTGAGAAAACCAGAGCCGTTCGTCACATGGAGTATGTGCCTGATGGCCTTGTAAAGGAGCAACAATATTCACTGCATCTACCCCTTGTTTTCTGTTACACATATTACATTATTTCTGTAGAAGCCCCTGACTCCGCTTTCCCACCCCACCATTTTCCCGTGTCACTCTTCATTTTCTCTCAGAAATGACACCCAGAGGAAAATGAATCCAACTGCGCGTCATTCGTTCTTGAACAGATGCTGTAGGTGAGACTGGATCGAAACTCCTCTTCCTCCTGAAACATTCACCATTTGTCTGCTCTTTGCGATCATTTGTGGTTCACAGGCATGTAAGAAGCAACCGCAGAAGACGTGGAGATGGGCCTGGGGAGCCCATGGGGGAAAAGAGCTAGCATGGAGGTGGCTCTGGGCATCTGCCCATTTTGCTGTGCTTCCCTCCCTACGGCACAGATAGATACGCTTTCTGGGGCAGGACAGTATGAATGAGAATGGGCAGATCTTTGGCCATCCAAAATCCCCAGCCACTCTCACGTGAGCCGCACCCTCAAGAGTTCAGGCCACTGGTTTAAATAACATGAGGTTTTGAACACCGGTGAATGTTAGAACTGGTTTTTATTTGTCCAGCAGCGTTTAGTCTTTAGGGTGTTTAATATTGACATGGAGTCTTTGGGGAGAGGGATTGATTTTGTTTGGCTTTGTTGTAAAGCCTTACGCATCTGGTTATGCTTAAGACGTTAGCTTTAGCAAACAACAAGCCTCTTGATAAAATTCACAAGTACTGGCAATACTGCGGACATAGACTTATCTCCTGGGCATGTTTTGTAAAATTAAGCTATTTTCATTAAAAGAACAAAGAGTAGCATGGTGATGGAGCAGCTGTCATATTTTATTACAAAACACAAATATGTGGGAAATCAATTACAGCACGGGTGCTGCACAATGCATATTTCCAGTAATCCCTCACGGCCGGAGGAAGGTAGAAGGCTGATCTGAGCGCAGGAGCAGATGGCAAGCAACTTCAGATAGCTTCACTGCCATTTTTACTCTTTCAAGTGTTTGTGCTTCTCCTTTGATCTTCAAATCTCGAGTTTAATGTGTTTCATCTTCTTTCATTTACTGTTTTCAAATTTAACTTTCCCTTTAAATAACTTTTGCTTGGTAGAGTTTGTATTAGTATGGGTTTTGTTATCTTCCATACCGTGAAATTTGAGAGACAGTTGCTATCTTTCTTTAGTGTTGTTCACATCCAATAAAATACTGACTGCATCACTGCAAAGGACTTCGCCATTCACCATGCACAGCTGTAATGATACAATGAAAAAATCCCACCTCACAAAGTTACGGAGACACACTGAGGCACAATACATGTGAAGTTGCAGTAGACTTTCTTGGAAAAGAGATTCTACATGGAGTGTGATGGTACATCCACAGCAAGCACCTATGGAAGTTTGGTTTCATCATTATTCCATTAAATCTAATTCTTACAGTTGAGTAATTAAGCTTGCATTGGTTTTCTCTGCATGTAACATTTTTATCCCACTTAAAATAATTTATGTTTAAAATAAAAGCATTTTGCAGTGTTTTGAAGTAGAGCAGTAAGAGCAACATAGGGTGCTGTGATGTGATCTGTGATCTGTGTCTCTGCTTTTTCTATAGCTGTCAGAAATGATAGGAACAAAAAGAAGAAGGAACCTTCAAAGCAGGAGTCCACAGAAAACTATGAAATGACAGCAGAGTTGGATGATCTCACTGAGAAGATCCGAAAAGCTCACCAGGAAACCTTTCCCTCACTCTGCCAGCTGGGAAAATATACTACGGTAAGTATGGTTTGTGACGCATACGTTCTGGATATGCCTGGATGATGTGAGTTTTGCATTGGAGGCTTCAGACATTTTAAACAGAAGCATAAGTAGATGCACTCCTTGCACGTCCATTGTCATGAAAAAATGCAGGTATGCATGCAAATACATGCTGAAGGAGAGACATTGCACTTACTGCATTACTTAGCGGTATTGTGAGAGACTGAAGGATTAGTCCAGCCAAGAGACAAGCTTGGAGTCCATGAGTCAATTACATGCCATCATTCATTAGAAATTTGTTGGCTCCCAAAGACGTGATCTCTGTCTGAGCGTCAGCGGATTACAACTTTGCAGGTGTAGAGAGTTCCTAAATGCTGCTGGATTACTGGTGACAGTCCCAAAGCTACCAAGGTCAAGGAAAATATGAAATGTCTAAATAAACTGGTTTCCAAAATGCTCATTTGCAGTTTATTCCTATCCCAGTCTACCAAAATACCATAAAGCAGCAAACACTTTTGCTGCTTTTAGAAATGAAAAATCAGCCCCCTGTCAAGAAGTTCGATACTGTGGGTATTTCTTCAGAGGATGAGTCAGGGAAATAAATCTTTTCTATACATACATATGTTGCTAAATGCAGGGAAGGTCAGTGATATATATTGATTTCAGAGAGAAAATTCAATGTCAAGTTTGCAAATGCAGTAATAAAACAGATGCTTAAAAATAAATGTTAAGTAACGTTTATAGTCCTGTTGGTAGAGGAATGACTTCGCTGGTCTGGTCTTGCTGTCGGTTGTAGCAGCACTGGCTGTTACAGGGGGGTGTGCAGAAGGTCCTGAAGTAGTCAGGTGTGTCTCGCTGCCGAAGCTGGGAGTTCAGGAGCGGCGTAGCTGGGGCAAGGAGACACCTGCCTCCGTGGTCCTTGTCCTCCATGGTTCCCCAGCTGGAGAGCTGGGACCAAGCCCTAGAGGCCCGGTAAAATACCTCTCTCACTGGATTGCTCTCTGTTTTGTGTAAATGCTCTGCTACTGAAACAAACGTTAAATTTCTCAAGAGTAATCTAGGCAAATCCCTGCGTGGCATCAATATTCACTGTTTTATGGTGTACTCATCTATTTACAAAGTTCAAGGTTCAAAACTCTCAGGTCTAGGTGTAAGACTTGGTCTTTAAGTGCAGGAAAAGCAAGCATACATGGTGTGATGTTAGAAAAAAGCATGTTTTTCATGTTGCTGAAAGTATTTTCAGAAGCATTTTTCACATTTAATTTTGAGGTTCGCGTAAAATGGTTAGTGCTGGGGAAGGTGGCTGTCCTCTGCACGCTTCTCTGGTGCTATCCCTGCTCGGGTGAGGTGTAGTCAAAACAGCCAGCGTAGGCGTGCTGGTAAATACTGCTGTAGCAGGCAAGTGCAGGCAGACCCCCAGGGACTAGCGCAGCGTGCGAGGCTGGAAGCTCAAAACCAGCCAGCTGGTGACATAACCGAAGGCAAAGCTGGAGACGGTGGGATCCATGGTGTGTCTTTTCAAGGAAATTCCTGGGTTAATGCACTCCACTCCTCCCCGCAGCATGTGCGGTTGTGTCCTCGTCTTGGAGTGAATAAAATCTTCCAAACAGGCTCTCACACTTCTGCAAACACAAGAGCACTTCTGAACGAGTGTGAAAAAATCTTCCCAGTTCAAAACAATGAGTTTATGCTTTGCAGAAGAGGTGATCGCATGTCCGCAGCTGGGACGCGTAGCCAGGCTGCTGGTATGCATGCCAGAGTTTATTGCTCACAGGCTGCCTTGCCAATGGGCTGGCTATCCCAGAATAACAATATATCGGTATACCTCCCAACGTGAACGTGTTGGTACGTACTTTTGTGTTACCTCTGAGTTTGAAGAGTGCACTGCAGCTGGTGTGATCATACTTTGTAGTGGTAATTGCCAAAGATCCTGGAGAGTTGAAAGATAAACCCAGGCATCTATATGCTTGCATTATGTGTTGGATGCCTAAGTATCATTAATATTTTAGCTCTTGAAACAATACAAGTGCGTGAAATTGGAGAGGGTCTTGTTGCATATCACACCCACCAGTTTGAAGAGTGCACTGCAGCTGGTGTGATCATACTTTGTAGTGGTAATTGCCAAAGATCCTGGAGAGTTGAAAGATAAACCCAGGCATCTATATGCTTGCATTATGTGTTGGATGCCTAAGTATCATTAATATTTTAGCTCTTGAAACAATACAAGTGCGTGAAATTGGAGAGGGTCTTGTTGCATATCACACCCACCACTGATGCCTTCGTCCTTGGGTTCCTGCTGTGACCCCCATGGGGAGTTTATGTCCCTGTTGGAATTTCAGAACCCTTACTGAGAGCACCTGGATCTAAGTAATGAACGGATGAATCTCATCTGTCTGTGGGTCCCGAGTAACCATGACCTGACCACACTCTCTCCGAGGCTGGATATTTGTCATTTGTGTCTCAGGCCAGATTGGACAGCTTGGGGAAAGAGATTTCTTGGGTTTATCGTTGGTCTGTTGGATGTTCACAGCAGTTAGCTGCATGCGGCTGAAGTCCCTGCCGCTTTGTCGTGATTTGGTAGTATACAAATTGCAATAACAAAATTATACTGAAAGAATTATTTTTGGCTTACCTTGAATCTTTGAGAGCGATACAGCTTCCTTCAACAGCTGTGTCACAACTAATAGCAGCGGGGCTAAATACTAACTGTCTTCTTGCTACATGCCCATAGTCTCTGTGTGAAATGCAGAATATTTAAATCTCTCATCTAGCTAAGGTCTGGTGACCACTCCAGCTTTTTAGGTAGGAATTCAGTATAAGAGCTCATTTTTGTGAATGCTGTCTCTGCCCGGCTTTGGAAGGGACAGAGTACAGCACTCCCCCCATTGCTTGCACCTGGTGGAAACCTCGGGGTTTAAGAATATTCCTCAGTACCACTGGGACTGGAGTACGGGTCATCTTCATCTCCAGCTGCCCGTCAGCCCAGGAGCAGGGAAGAAGCCTTTCTGCAGCAGCAGAGGATCCAGGAGGATCCAGGAGGCAGAAGGTGTGTGTGCTGGTCGGAGAAGCACAGCTTCGGTGCTTGGACACCACCACCAGCTGCTGATCAAACAGCAGGGCTCAGGCAATAATCTTTCTTTTGGAGACACTTGAAATAGAGACCAGAAGTCAAAAAAAAAGGAGCACACAGCCCTTTTTCTAAATGCTGAGTCCAAGGGGAGCTAGAAGCCTACGCCACTCTACTTTTCTTGATAGTAACAAGCTAGTACAGGTAGAAGATTGCCACCAGTCCTGCTTTTGTGCCCGGTTCTACAGGCTAGCAGTCATGAAGCATGGCGCGCTCACACTGCAGAGCATACAGATTGCTTTTGTAACCTTACGAGTTTTTTATTTAATTCTTTACACGAGAGGTGAGAAGTGAGTGTATTGAATCGATGTGGATTCACTTGAATTTCATGAGCTTTGCACTTTGTGTACTGATAGAAATGGTGGATGGAAAAAACTGTTCTGCAAGCGTGGCCTCTATGTGCCTTTGGTTACGTGATCGTTCAGACCGATTTAAAACATGATTTTGTTTGTTGCTAAAAAGAGCAAAGAATTTTAAGTATAAGAGAGTGGAGTAAAAAAGACCTTGCAGAGATACAGTCATAAAAAAAAAATCTGTTCAGACATTTGGCTTGCTGCATATCCGGCTCCTCTCGCTCTTGAGCACTGCAGCCTGCATTTCCCAGAGGGAAAGGCTACATGGTGATTTTTTCCCCCCATTGTGTATTTTTACCTGTTCAAAAATGGTTTTGGAGAAGCATTTTCAAGTATGTTTTTTTATATCCATCTGCTCTTTAAAAAGAAGAAGTGTCCCTATCTGTAATAATTACCGTACTTTGCATAGTTAATAAAAGTCTACTTAAAATAATGGGAGAATAGCACTCGAATTAAATTCCCTGGGTCATTTGACTTAACAGTTGCATTTGGTGGGCAGTGGCAAGTGTAGTTCTGCCGATGATGAGAATCAGCAAGCTGTTTAAACGTAATGGATTTCAAAAGTCCATCATAAATAGATCTGTTTTATTACTGTCATCCAGGTAAGAGAGAGTGCCTTAGTAATTTCTCTGGAGATGTCATACTTTATAGTATAATTGAGTGTAACTATACTGCTTGTCCCTCGAGACTGGTATTATTTGTAAGTCTACAGCTGTGTTGCATCCAGCCTCGTGATAGAGGGAGGATAAAACAGAAAATAATTTTGACTCTGCGGACCCTTGCTGCGGGTTCTCCCAGGTTGCTCTTGGCTGGCTGGAAGTGGAGAGGTTTTGCATCTCAGCAGCATTTTGTCCTGTGTAAGTGCTGGGCTTAGGAGTTACACAGCTATTGTTCTGTGTCACTGCAGAGGAAAATATATATATATGTATATATGATTTTCTATGTATCTCCTGATGCTGGGAATGAGCAGAGACATGTGCTGTGGTCCTCGGTGAACTCACTGGAGCTGGAGTGCATTGCTGCTTTTACTAAAGAGGCATAGCAAGTGTTCCTGATTAGGGCAGAGTGCCCCTGTGAGCCTTGTTTCCTTTGTAAAGTGGATTTTAAAGACGGTAGGGATTCTGCTACTGTGTATGTTTCTGCGAGTACCTCATCTTGTATCGTTAATGTGGAGATAGAGCAGCCTGCAATGGAAAAACAAAAATGATGGAAAAAATGGGATCAATTTATGTGGCAAAAATGGCTGTTTAATTGGATTTCATAGCAAGGTTGGGCTTTTCCACTGACAAAGATGCCACTAGGGTGTATTACAGTATTGTTCCACCATATGTGCGCTGATGCAAAGGCCTGAAAAACATGCAAGGCTGCTCCTGGAAAAGACACCCAAAAAACTGCTTCAGTAAAATATTCAGGAAAAGTCATAGCGTCTGCATCTTTTTCACAGCATGGTTAGAGGAGATCCCCAGGCAAATTTAATCAGAGTTTCTGTTTCTAACGTGCATTTTATTAACCCCGTATTTTACTGTTCAATCTATACATTGATATTGAGTCAGTTTTGGTTTTACGTATTCAGAAATGCTGCTAAAAATCTAGCTGTTTTCTGTGACGCTTGCAACTACATTCATTACTAAATAAAATGTTAAAAGTCTTTCCATTTGTAGCACCTCGAAGATAACGTGTAAACCACATTAGCTCAAAACACATTAGCCAGAATCTGGCACCCGGCGTAACAAAACACCCGGTTATTTTGTATTTTATTAACTGCCCCTTCTCTTCAGTTTGCATAATAGTGAGTTAGATTTACATTTGTTAAGACGGCCATGCATTACTCTTAATAGAAGACATGTCAAACTTCCCGTTGCCGGTACTGCAGCATGATAAAGTAACCTCATATGATACTGATGAAGATTTCGTTCACACTTGCTGGTTTCATGCAACGTCTTTTTTTCCAGATGGATACCCTATTGTAAAATGATTTCCTGCTTTAGGCTCTGCTTTGTGTAGCTCTCCGCTATGCCATCTTTCTATGAACTGGATAAACTGCCTATTAAATTTAATTACAGCCTGAATGACTGCACATCTTGATCTTATTTTTCCTCCAATGTACTGTATTTCACCAAGGTCCTTGAGGATGAAATAAAATAAATCTGAAGGATGCATACTCCAGTAGCTGAAAGAAATGTTTCAAAGGGCATTACAATGACTGTTAACCCATTAGTTTTGGACCATTTTGAAGGCAATTCTTTAGGTTTAGGATTATAAAGACATTTTTTCCTATCTTTTCTTCTGTCATTTAAAAAACCAAAACAAAATAGAGAAAGTTCCCAGGATAAAAATGCAAATAGAAATGATGAAGTTAATTTCTTATCCCTTAAAAAGAGAGGGAGTGGGGAAGAGTAACTATGCACCTTCAAACCATTCAGCATGGTTAGCATTTATTTTTTGCAATAAGGGCCTCGTATAAATATTACCAGCTCGAATCTCCATCCTGTTGCAAGTGAGGGTGAATGTTGGGCTGGCGGCACCCTTGGGACCCATCAGGACTTTCTCCTTCGTGACTGACGGTGGTCATGGCGTCTGTGAAGGCAGCCCCGGGAGGGGGTGACAGAGCATCACAGCCAAGCTGAGCTTGCCCCACGTCCCCTCGTCAACCTCTTCAGGCCTTGTGTCCTTCCCGCGAACCGAAGAAGAATGATGGCTTCAAAGGTTTCCAAGGAGGTGGACGTCCTCACCGCCAGCAGTGATGGTGGCAGGGTCACTGGAGATGTTTCTTCCGAGAAAGCACAATCTGTGTAAACTGAATGCTTTTTGATGGCTATTTGCCATGTCTGTTAGACTTTTATGTTGAGACTCCTCTCATTTAACTTTAATTTTAAAGTTAATGTAACATTTTAACTTCAACCAGCTAAGACTAAGGTAGCTAATCACATTGGCTTCCTCTGCAGCTGGGGAGAAAGCCGCCATCTGAGGGCATTTTCCCTTACCTGCCTTAAGTACCTATCTGGAGTGGGTGGGCCTTTTTTTGGAGATGCCTCTCTCTTTCTTGGTTAGTCAACAAGCTCAGATGAGATGTGGAAGAGAGAAGCTCTCCCTTTGGTTTTCTGGGGTTGCAGCTCAGCACCTTTTGCAAATTCACTACTAGCATATTTTTACAAGTAGAATTCCTCTCGCAATGAAGAGGAGATCACCCAGACCCTGAAGGCAGCTGCAACGCACACTAAACCTGGTGGTTCATGAGATAATGGGGGGGACCATCATGCTGGCTGCATCCCGAACAGCATTGGATGAAACGCTGGCAAAATGGGAATATGCTGCATGCTGGGGAAGGAGGAGAGGGGCCTCCCGTTTCTCGTCACCCCACAGGAATCATGGGTGGGTTGGAAACAGCTCACCAGGTCTCCCCATGCCCCTACCTTTTGCTGGACTAGCATCAAATAGATCGCAGTAACTTTAGAGTCAGCTGGTTCTTGGCTGACATGTTTAACTTTTTCAAGGGTTAAGTGGTTATTCTGAATGTAGGAAAACATGAGTTTAATCACAAACTTAACACAAATTTGCTATGCATCCTAGCAAATTACGGATTAAGATACATGAATATATGGAAGCAGTCTCTGAAAGATGCAGCTGGAATGTCTTTGTAACACTTCAAACAGTAGGGTATATGTTGGATGCACCGTCAAATGAGCACATAGCATTCATCAGCGCACATGGTGTTTTTCCTAACATGGTGTAAAGAAATGCTCTTTAATTCATGGGAGACTGTAGCTTGAGAAAGCTGTAAAACTCTTGCAGAGCCACAAAGCAGATAAATTAAGTAGAACTAATTTGCTAAGACCTTAAGTATGTGAAACTATGTTCCAAATATTGTGCTGCTTTTTCCAGATGAGGACCCGATATTCTTGTTCCACTGTTCATTTATATTTTCTGGGGTACAACTGTAAATTGTCTCTCTCAATGCACTTATTATATAACGGCAAGGAAGAATAATGATAGTGGCATTTGGAAATGTTTAAGTTCATTTGTATTCCTTGTACAGATGGCCTCTGCAATCGTAAGTAACAGAGAAATATCCAAGGAATTTTCAAGCGATTAATCCAAGTTTAAAACCAGCATCATCCCAACAGCAAGCTGCAGAAAATGCCTGGAATGTTAATAGAAAGTACTTCTGGAAGGAATACTTGGTTGTTGTTTCTTTCCCTTGAAAACCATTTACTGAAAGGGACGTTGTTGATTTATGGTGCTTTCTGTCTGTCTTTCCAGAACTCCAGCGCAGATCATCGGGTTCGACTGGACCTCGGGCTTTGGGACAAATTCAGTGAACTTGCAACAAAGTGCATTATTAAAATAGTGGAATTTGCAAAGCGATTGCCAGGCTTTACAAGTTTGACCATTGCAGACCAGATAACTCTACTTAAAGCAGCCTGCCTGGATATACTGGTATGTATTTTTAACGTCATTGTTATGCTACTAATGTGTTTTCTATTGCTCTTTTTACTGTAATCGACAGGGAGAGGGGATCAAATACTGCCCTGGCCTTATGGTTGCAAAATTGAACTTATCGGGTAGTCTGGTACGGTCATGAGTGGACTCCAGCTCGTCTACAAATGTGTGTTATACGGGATGAGCATACTTTTCAAAATATGTAGTAAGTCCTTATAGTTTGTGGATTTCAGTATAGTTGCAAGAAGGGCACATTTTGGTATTGTGGCACTAACTTGAAATATGTGCAGCTTTGGAAAAATCTCCTTATTGTTAACACTGAAGAGAGATCTGACTGTCTTTCCTTCCTCCTCCCTCCAAAACATGATGCTCTGAATAAAGGATACCTAGAAAGAGAGTCCTTTGTATAATGTTTTAGGAACGTGCTGTACCTGTGGTCATGAGGTAATTTGAGGAACAAGATACAAATCTTCAGAGTGAGGTTTTTGCCGGTTGTAGAAGGGAACCTGGTGCGCCTGGAGCCCAACAGGCACAAGCCTCCAGCCTATAGAACCCCTGCTTTCACCAGTGCTACAGGCACCCGTGGAAGTGGACACTGTAATGGACTCTGTACAGATTTTAGCTAAATGTCCTTTCATTTTAAATAGGCAAGCATACAACCTGCAGCAGGGAACAGTGCAGATGGGCTTGGAGTTCTTCTCCAGACCTTGCCACTATGTCAAGGCAAGCTGTCTTCCTTCCCTTTGTCTCCGGTTGTTTCTGTCATGCTGACCTTCAGAGGAACCCTCTGGGATCTCAGCATTTCTTTATCAAGACCTTAGAGGTCTTCAGGCTTTTAGTTGCAAATATGCTTCTTATTCTTGGCCGTAGCGTTAGTATTTTCAACATGTTTTAAACATTTTAAATGTTTTCTTCTGAGCACAAACCTTCAGGTCTTCATTGAGTCAAGCATGGCCAAGAAGCCCGTTGTAGGATGGCTGCTGTAGATATATTTTTTGGCATGACACAGGAGTTAAAGCTAGGGAATTTGAAGTAATTAATCTTGGAATTTCTAAAAGTGCATTGCTTCAAACAGGATCATATTGAGGAGGACGTTAACTGCTGTGACCTTTTCCTCTTGTTTTGTCAAAAGCTGTTTTGAAGAATTGCATCTAGAGGACATTGATGAAGGAGGAAGAGGGGTGGGAGAGGGGAAGGGATATCGTTCTCTGGCCTATAAAAAAAGGGAAGGTTGAGGTTGCCCTGTCATGCTCAAGATTCGCTTCTCGTTGTCCCCTTCGTCCAGGCACTCATTCAGACTTGACCATCTCATTGTTACTGTGTGTGGTCCCTCCACGGGGCAGGGCCGTTCGTTACCAATTGCATGCCTGTCGTCACCAGCTCTGTCCTGATAAGACACAGTTACGTTCCCCTTACACCGAAAGGCATACAGTAATCGATAAAGTGTGGCGTTGCCTCGAGTGTATTCTGCCAGAGGTATGGGATGGGAACTGCTTTGTGCTTTGCTGTTGTAACCAGTAACAAATGGTTAATACGGAAACTACCCAAAAATGGTGGGGAAGAGGCAGGATAGAGCAAGAATCTGCACATCCAAACTCTTTGCCCCTAAAACTTCAGCCCTTAAACTGCCACCCCCTATTTGTTGCTGCCGTGCGCTGGCTCCATAGCTGCTGGAAAAAAACATACCCTAATTCTGTAATTGCTCAGGATCCTGCGAGCTCCTGGTACTCTTTGTTGGGGTGGGTAGTGGGAGCTTACCCCGGGAGCATGCACAGGGTCCCCCGGCAGCTCCGCTCACTGCTTGCGGAGCGCAGCACTGGCTGGACAATATCAAGTATTTAGGGGTAGCCTTTCTGCTAGCGGTTTTATCTGAAGTGCCTAGATAAAGGCACTTCACAGCCTTCGATCAAAGTGACTAAATAAAAGCCTGGTTGCCAGATGAGAAAAAGAATAATGAAGCAGGTGGCAAATGGTGACTTTATTTCAACTAATTAATGGATAGAAAGGCTTGATTCTTTAATACAATTCACTACTTTCGCTTTGTGGCCATGTAGCAACCTTCAAGCTCTAGTTACAAACTTTATTGAGACCTGTCATTCCCGACCGCCTGCTTGTTCTCTTTTTTATTTTTCACGAAGCCGGAGAAGGTGACACATCCGAGCGAGCAGGGCGTAGCGAGTGCCATAGCTACCCGTAGCAGGGAGGAGCTGAGGCTTTTCCAAAAACAGGAGCAGATAAGACACGGTTGCTGCGAAGAGTCCTAACTTTCCTGCACGACATTTACACAAGCTTTATGTGACTATTTCATGTGCTGCTTAAAAAGAAAAAGGGATAATTACCACGAGCACAGTAATGCATAGCGCGCGTGGTCTCTGTGAAAAGCCCATATCCATTAAACCCACATCACCTGCACGTCATCGGAACTGCAGTGCAGCTCTGTATCTTTATTTAAGCTAAATTTCAGTACTTGGAGCAGTGTTTTAATAGCGCATGTTTCCCCTCCCAGCAAGCTAGTTCTCCTAATTATGACGAGCATTTCGAACGTTTTATTTTGTGCATTTGGGACGCGGAGGGAGCACCATTCCCCCTCCTGCTGCATGAGCACCCGCTGCCGGTGCCTGCCCGTGGTCTGCTGTGTGAGCACTGCTCAGGGTGGGCGTGAGCCTCGCCGGTGTGCACGCACGATCCCACCGCTCTGCAGTCCCCTGGACACGTCCCCAGAGCCGTGGCACGCGGGAGGAACGGTGTGGGGCTCCCAGCCCAGCCAGGTGGGGTGGCCGGGCTCCCCCCACCAGCAGGACCCCGGTTCACTGCCACCCAGCAGCGCTGTCTCTGGGCTATGGGGAGTCTTAAGCATTTATAGACCCTGCCAAGGGCTCTGCTTAGTTGGTTGCTGCGGCCGTGGATGCTTGAACCCCCCGACAGGCTGACAAAGAAAATGGTGCCAGGAGCTCAGTAAACTCCACTGGGTATGGGCCAGAGAATTGTTTTATATACAAACAAACAAAATCTCTGGAAGGAAAATAACATCAAGCCTCGCAAGGCAGCTGAAGGCGCCGATCGAGGATGGTGGAATTTATATCTGCGCTGGTGCCAAAGGTTTCAGGGATAAACACTACTAAAATTCAGTCAGTAGCCCTCGTAAAAGCGAGTCCTTCTGCCTGCTGGTACGCTGGCCCAGCGGCGGTCGAGCATCCCCAGCCTCACCGAGCTGTGGCAAAATGAATGTAGGAAGACCCCAGAGTCCAGCTGTCTTAAATCCGATGGATAAAAACCTCAGAAGTCCTTGAACGCTAATCCTTAATATTGTCATTTTTGCTTTCTGTTGTAAAACCCTGCGCGTTAGTGCTGGGAGGGCTTTGGTGTGTGCGGAATAACCCGTGCTGATGGGGTATGACAGTGCCACGGAGGCTTGTTCATTGTTTCAGAGTCACCTGCTTGGGTTTCTCCTCTCAGGACACTGTCCCAGCCGGCTAAGGCAGCTAACGTGTAACAACAGCATTTCTTAAAAAAAGCCCAGCTTGCCTTAACAAATCTGTTTAAAATGAGTAACAATTCTATGGTAGCAACAATTTTGTAAATGCAACTTTCTGGATGGTTTTGGTTTCATAGGGTTTTTGCTTTGCGATTTGTAACTGGCTCATAGGAACCCCAGACACTTTAAGATATAAATGTTCCTTAAAACAAAGGGTCCTTTAATCATGGTCAAGAACCTTATTTATGCCTGCAAGTGGCATTTAAGAGCAGAGTGACAACTAAAATACTTGGCTTGGTTACAAAATCTAAACAACATTGAGGACATTAGGAGGATTCAGTTTAAAATGGAGAAAGATACCGTGATTTCTTATTTTGAAGTGCTGACATTTCCCATATGTTCTTCAGTGAATATGAGCTTGAAATCAGCTTCACTTTGACACTGGAAGTTTGCCCAAGAAAGGTTTAGCAATATCCATGGCGTTTCGCAGATCTTGATGAAGGACACAAATTGAAAAAAAAAAAACATTTCAAATGATCTGTCTCAGAGTTTAATAACAGCGTGTTGTGGGATAATGTCGAAGGAATGCAGGAGAAACCTGAGACCGGATTGCTGCAGTCAAGCTAAGTGCATTGCAGAAAACACATAGCTGAGCTTCAGCTGTGCCAGTGCCCCAGCAGAGCCACTGCAGGCTCCTCCAGTGAACGGCTGGCGTGGCATTTAGGTATGAAAGCCTGAAGTCTGCCTTTTGCAAAAAGTCATCCTACCTGCTGCCTAACCCTGCAAGTAGCTAAATTCCACAGGACCTTTATGTTTTAATTATAAATTTTACAAGGCCCCTGGAAGTCTCTTTCTGTGCATGCCCACAGGGGCTCTAGGCTGAGTAACCTAACCCCAAATTCACTCCTGATGAGGATCCAGCCTGGAAGTCTTCCTCTGCGTTAGCCCTGGGGGACGGTGATCTGGTAGGTCTTTGGCGAGCACCCCCAGCACGCACCCCCAAACGGAGTGGGGCTTACAGCAGCGGGGGGTGAGCACGGAGAGCTTCGCAGCGAGGGAGCCAGCAGCCTGTTGTATGGCAGGGGGCACGCATTCAACCCCCGGGTTGTTTGGGATAACCACTCCGAGGCACCCCAGTCCCTCTGGGCCAGGAGTCTCTGGGCGGTGCTGCGTTGGCAGCCGGTATCCAGACTTGCCCTCGGAGGGAGGATACGGAGGAACCCTATCTGCCGGCCCTGCTTGGGCAGCTGCCGGGGAGGCTGCAGGCAGCCTTCGGGAAACACCACGGCGTTGCCCAATTTAGCTCCAAGTCCTGCTCCGCTAATTTCTTGGGCTGGGAGTCCTGAGGGTGTGGAGGGAGGAACTCTCATTGCTAAGACTTAGCAATTAAAATAGCACCGGAATAAAAGGGGCTGCCTTTCTCCCCAGCTGAGCTAAGGGAAAATCAGTACCACTTAAGAAGTACAGAGCCTTGTTCCTACAAAAGTGGGGTACCTGATCGTCACAGGCCACGCAGCCATACTGGAAGGCTTCAGTGCAGGCTTCGGGTGGGAAGAGCTGCACTCCAGTTTCTCTTGCGTGCCATTAGAGAAGTAAACCAAGTAGCTCTTGGGTTTCTCAATAAATATGCAACGTTTTCAAACCTTTCTTTTCTTGAAAACAACAAACTCTGCATGTTTCTTCTCCTTTCTATACAATCCTTTTAATGATTTAAAAGGATAACCTACAGCGAACTTTAGGAGAGAGAACTGCCGGTGGTTACTGGCAGCACAGAATATGGTAAACATGCTGTCTTTTATTGACAGGGTGCCATGCTTTATAATGTTAATTTCTGCTAATAATGCTGAAATACACTTTGGCTATTACACAAAACCTTTGGAGTTACCAGCAGCCTTTTAAGATCACTTATATTGCTGGGGAATTTGTGGTCAGTGAAGAATCTGAGTGCTATGCATTTGTATTTGTGCCTCTCTTCATCGATTCAAGTAATTTCGAGAGCTTATTCTAATTCAGGGGTAGGGGAACGATGTGAAACACGCCTGTCCAACCACACAGAGGCTCAGTGCTTCAATGTATACCACAGTGTGAGATAAGATTATTGCTGAGATAGAAAATAGTTGAAGAACCTTCTGCAGAAATACACCCCTATTAAGTCTCTTACCAAGGGATTTAAGAAGAGAAATAAAAGCTTCCCTGTAGGTCTCTTACATGCCATGTCCTCCTCATTCTCCTCCCTGCTTATTTGGAGCAGTGTTGCCAGGGAAAGATGAAAGTGGGAGAACCAAGCCCAGACTGGTCAGCTGCCAAGTGCTGGGGTCTCTGACTCAGAGCTTCGGCAGCTATAGGAATAATTAAAATTTGCCCTGTGCTCACTTATATTCATGTAAATCTTTTTTGTGGAATCTTTAAAACAAAGCAGGATGGCTGTATGGGAAATAAATACAGTCAAGCCCTGAAAAGATATGGCTGTAGTCTTAGTTCAGCTAATCAGCTAGACTTCTGCAAGGTTTTATTTTATTTTAGTTTAGGGATAAGCCTTCTCCCACCTCTGATTATTTTAAACATTAAGCATTGATATATATAACAGAACTATGTCAACATGATGGACATCTCTTTTATTTGATCCTTAAGGCAGTGTTCATTAATAGCAGCTGTACAAATGAGCCCGTGCCGTAGAGAGTCTGTTGTGGGACACATCCCGGGTTTGCTCTGAGAGGCGAAAGCGTTCCCGCACTCGCTCCCCCCGGCCGTGCTGCCACCGCACCTCCGCTGTGACAGCGCTCTTGACGCTGTGGTTACCCCAGAGGCATTTACTAACAAAAGGCAGAGCATCCTCAGTGTTTTATTCCTGCGTTTTGCATTCCTCCGTGTCCAGTTGGAGGTGTGAATCCCCATCCTCCCCTCCAACGCTCTTTCATCTGGGGTCAGTGCTGGGTGGCTGTCGTCACACAAGTTAGCTTGCCAAAACCAACGCTGCCTGGGCTTGCACAGGAGTAAGTGACACCGTCAGCAGCGGGAAGGTACGCTTTGCACCAGGCAGGCAGGGTATGCACCCTTACCAGCCCGGGGCTCGGGATGGGGGAAGCGCCAGAGCCTCAGGGAAGTCCGGAGCCCAACCGGCTGGCGAGGAGGTTGGGTGTTACGGCACATGGACGTAACAACAACCGTAAAAGAAGAAAAGCTGGGCCAACTCCTCAGGCTGCTGGCCGGGCTGCCGGCAGCCCCGCGCGCTGCCTGGAGGTTCAGAGTTTGACAATCCGCTGGGGTGCGAGCTCCCAGGCTGGCAGGACCAGCAGCGCTGCGTGGGGGCTGTGACTGGGGCCGCTCGGGAGGCGGAGGGCTCTGCGCTGCTCCAGGGAGCGCTCACGCGGGGGTTGTGTTCACACAGCGGTGTTTCCTATCTGCTGCCGCAGCAGAAAGGACGGCACCCCAAAGCACGAGTTGTGTTCTGCCTCTTCCACCAACTCGCAGCTGTCCGCACTCACTCACTCCCGATACCGCAGAGACACTTTGTCCTTACCTCATCATGCAAAATTGATCCCTAAAATCAATGAAGTATGTGTATGTTCGAAGAGGTGAGATACGTTTATGATCTTGCTGGATCAGATCAGCAGTGCAATAGTGTTTTATTGTTAGGTGCGTATAGCACGCTAATTAAAGAGCAGTTTATGTGAATATTATGGTAATGTTGGTGACCTAAGTGGCGAGAATTACAAAGAAGTTTTGATTATTTCATAACTAGGGGGAAAATTTCTGTTCTTAAATTTCTGTTATAAGAAATACCCATAGTCAATTGAGTATATTTATGTTGTACCAGAGAGTTTTTGTGCTACTAGAACTGAACAAACTGGAGTTTGATTTCGGATTGTTTTGACGTGACCGTGTACTGCAGTTCCGTGGGTCATTTGCTGCATCGAGAAAATGCAACAAACCTCTCATGGATTGAATTCTTCAGATTTCTTTTTTTTTTTCTGTCCTTCCACAGATCCTTAGAATTTGCACAAGATACACACCAGAACAAGACACCATGACCTTTTCAGATGGCCTTACCCTAAACCGAACTCAGATGCACAACGCCGGATTTGGCCCACTGACTGATCTCGTGTTCACGTTTGCCAACCAGCTCCTGCCTTTGGAAATGGATGATACAGAAACAGGTCTTCTTAGTGCCATCTGCTTAATCTGTGGAGGTATCGTACAGCATGAACTCAGATGCGTTTGAAAAGGACAGACACGATAAGATCTTCATTTATGTTTTACTTGGTTTGCTTTCCTGTACTAGAACATATATATAAAATATATATATGTAACATTATTATATATGTTCTATAAACCACTTAACACTAAAGGTTTGTTTTCCACTGGTGATAGTTATTGGTTTTATTATACGTTTTATTAAATGTATATGATACGTTTTCAAATGACTCAAATCATTCTGTCCAGCAACCGATAAAGGACTATTACTCAAATCATTCTGTCCAGCCTGATAAAGGACTATTACTAATCCTGCTGCATTTTTTTATGAACAGTATATGGGTACCTATATGAATGACCTTTGCTATGGAAAGATGCCCATTACGCAGCTTTTACTCATAAATATAATCGCATGCATATGCATATAGTTATATTCACACAGAAGTGTGAATACTTTCGCAGAAGGTGATAACTTTCTTTAGAAGAAAAATAGATTATACTTTGAAATTAGCACAGTGGCACTTGTGACATGATTGGGGGGGAGTGATTACAACTTGAAAGGGACATTGTCAAGTAAAATCAGGTAAAATCATGATTTTAAAATACAAAAAGCCAAGTCTCAGATAATTTCCAAAATCCTCTGTAAATTTCTGTTATTTTAGTCACCTAGTCTCCTCCTTTGCAAAATCTGGACTAGCAATAGAAACGTACTTTGTTTAGTTGGGCCATTTTGTTGAAATACAAACTGGGTGCTACTAGAGAATGTTTAAAAACCAAGAATCAGTCTTTGTTGACAATGGCTGTTTAGTACAAAATCATTCCGATTTTGTGTGTCTCTAACCATAACCCATCAAAAGCATTGATGGGTTCTGAGATGTCATTAATATGTGACTGGTGCATCCTGGTTTATGGGTGACGTTTGTTGTCACTCAAGCTAGCACTGCCATCTGCTGATACCTGATGGTAACTCACTTTATTTTAGTATTGATACCAAAAATAAATTAGCTGTAATCTCGTTGTATACATAGGTAGCTTATCAATGACTCATACAAAATTAATTCTGAAATATTGTTTGCAGCAAGGTGTTTTCCCATTGGAGAGGGAGGTACAAGAGCAAACTGGTAATTCTGGACCACTCAAATGACAAACCTTTCCAGTCACCAAGGAAAAATGAGTCTAAGTTTCAGAAAGCCATGGTTTATCCTCTTCCTATGGACTACTCACTACAGAGTGTGGGTCATAAGTGGAGGGAAAGATGAAATTCATGGAGTTCTAATCAAGAACATGGAGGAGCTTCTGTGATTTGGAGTTTGTACAAAAAAAAAAAAAAAATATTTAAAAGCATATGAGTGATATGATACTTTTCTACAGATCGCCAGGATCTTGAAGAACCAATGAAAGTGGATAAGCTTCAGGAACCATTGCTTGAAGCACTGAAAATTTATATCCGAAAGAGACGACCCAACAAGCCTCATATGTTCCCAAAGATCTTAATGAAAATCACAGATCTTCGTAGCATCAGTGCAAAAGGTACAGTGTCTCCCAATAATTCAGCACAATTCAGCAGTAGTGTCAGTGTTAGTTTTAGAGGAAACTGGCCTAGAGACCTGGGTGGTTGGTTTTTTTAATGTATCTAAGAAAGGTCCTTGTGACCCTTCTCTTCCCTTCTTCTTTATTTAACTCCCGTGTTTCAATGGGTTCTGCTTTAAACGTACATGGTGCCACGTTCTTCATGCAACTTACAGTGAAAATGACGTCTTGGGTGTAAGTAGGTTAGCAAATTGTTAGCATGAAGTCTTTGTTAGTCATTTTAAGACAAGACAAAACCCTGAATTAAACCTTGGTTGATGTTTACAAGGGGGGAGCTGGTCAACATGTACTTTGTATCACTAATGGCTTTCAAAAAACCAAGTCTGTTTATAGACAGCAGAAAACACTTGAGCATCCAAAATTCCCCTAAACTGTGGTCTGACATACTGAAGGTTTAGAACTGATTTGAACCAGGATTTTGGAGATTCAGCACCTCTAATCCAAACTAACCATGCTTACACATGGATCAGTTTTGTTTTAACATTTTGTGTAGTCTTGTACGTGATTGATTGATCATGTCAAATACACATAGTCTAAGGCTATCACCTAAATTCTCTGAAGCACAGGTATAGTTGAATGCTTTCATTTCATCAGAGAGCTTCCCCGCTTAGTGCTTTGTCCCTCGACGTGTACAGCCCGAGAGGGGAGCCTGTGCGGCTGTTCTGAAAGTAGCAGTGGACCGTCGGCGGTGCGTCAGCTCATTAGCAGCCTCTGTGCACGCCTGTTCTGCCCTGTGCTGTGGCCTCGAAGGTGGCTGTGCTCCTCTCGTTTGTGCACCCCTGTATCTCCCCAAGGCCTAACTTCAGACGTGTCCAGCTGTTTCATATATGTTCACCTCCAGACTTCTGGGAGATGTACCAGCCTGAATACAGAGAGTCTAAAGTGATACAGTTCTTGGTTTTTTACAGTGGTTGATACAGTTCCACTTTCTTACTCTGCTTACTCAACTACAGATTTGCTACCCCCAATAGATAAGCAAGCACATGAGTTTGTATGTACAGGTACCTATGTAGCTATAGATTGGGTTTATGCTTTTGGAAAAATTACTAATTTCATTTGACATGATTTTTGAGAAGACTTCAGGGAAAAAAAAATAGCAGTTAAATCACTCAAATACACTTGTTTTACATTAAAACCTAAACTGTTACACTTTAAACAATATATATCTAAATTAAATGATTAATCTATAGCTATGTTTATAAAAAGAAGTGAGCAATTTAATTGGATTGATTAGTACCAAAAGAATAACTTAGAAGGGAAACACCAGAGCTGGAAGCAAAAGTATCCTAAAAAGGAACCCGTTAACCAGGTTATCTAAAGCTTGCAGTTTACCCTCAAGTAAAGCAAGCTCCATCCAACGGAATCTGCAAAATAAACTTACAGCAGTACTGAGCTATAAAAATATTTAGGGGAGCCTGTTCGTTCTACTGTTCTTGCTTGTGGGAAATCTCTTTCCGCTTTCCTGCTGCTTTGCCAGAGCCCGCCAGCTGCTCAAGAACACGGCTCTGTCTCTTTATGTTCAATGCACAAGAAAGGATTCTTCTTTCCATTCTGACATAAGTATTTAACTTTAATTATATCATTAACGTTTTATAGTAAAACTAACTCATACCAAAGGACTGGTGATGTCCTGGAGGGGTGGGTGTGTCTTGAGTTTCATTTGAAAAGATGTACATTAGAAGATAATCACTCTTGATGGTACATGGTCCCTGAAAGCAATTACCAAAGTAAGCACGAACTGAGGAGACTGAGAATGTCTCCTTACACCGGAGTTCCTCATACAGCTACATTCTTCTGTGGCATTAGAAGTGTTGTAACAAAAGCAGTGAGCATTCGTGGGACTGCAGCAGGAGACCATCTTCCGAGTTCTCTTATCCCAGTATTAAATTGGAAGTTTGCAAGACCTGAAAAACCACTGTGGCTCTACACTGGACTAACCACACAAGCACTTGGTACTGCAGCTGACCTACTCCGTTACAGCAGAAAGTAGATATTTATGTGGCCAAATTCAGTTCACCAACGCTGCTCTGACTACAGACGGTTTTCAGAGAAGCTCTCAGGGTAATTCTGCATTAATTTCTTTCCAAGGGTAGTGCTTGCCCCTTTGTTCTTAACAGCTATTTAAGAGACTTTTTAACCAGCATTCACTTCGAAAGTTGGTCATTGCCAGAGTAGATGATTTAGTTAAGGCATGAACATAAATAAGCGTGCCCTTCCACTCTGGAGTTACCACTGGTACTGACAGTGTGCTCTCTCCAGCATGGACATTGCAGCAGCACGGCTAAGCAGAATATATCCAAAGGTTCTCTCCTCTGGAATGTTTCTTCAATAACCAGACTATTATTTTCTCTTTAATTTTGTTGGCTCTTCTTGCCTTTCTTCACTTTTAAAAAGCCCAGATTCCTATTCCATTAGACCCAAATTTTAAGGTGATCAGGAACCCTGTGCAACATGTTGGACCAGATATTTGAACTCAGAGGTTTATGGCTATAAATTGTCTGACATTCTCCTGATAAGAAAAATCTTTTTCCCATCACCAGCAAAACACATAAAGCACATTCATGCCTCGGTGTGGAACAGAATCTTTACTGTACATCCTCACTTTATTTGAGGTGTAATTCCAAAATACTCCTGTCTCTTTATGGTCCTCACCACTCAGTAGCTGAATGTTTATTAACTTACTTTCAGTCCTTCAGCTATATCACTTGTTTACAACAGAATGGCGTACTTACTTAAGCTTAACTTAAGTGTTACTGCTGACTGGTTTAGGGCTTTCTGAACATTGCTTGCCGATCACTAAGCAGCAGCAGCGTGCAGCAGCAGCAGCAGCAGCTGAACTGTCCTGCTTTCCCCGATAGTAGCCCTTCTTTTCACTGAGAAGTTTTATCCATCCAGCATGTAAGGGTTCCCATGCCTGTAGTAACTTACTAATCCCTGAGCAGTTCCCTCAGAGTTAACTGCCCCGTGTCAGGCAGGGTCTTGGCCATTTTTTAAATGCAGGCTTCCCCTCATGCTGTGCCGCTGCATACCAGCCAAGCACCGTGCTTCCAGCTGATGTCGTGTGCAAGTTACGAGTGAACTGTGAGGTGCCTGCCATGTTCAAGCGGCCTTAACACATCTTAGGAGCATCAGGCACTACTGTGGCTTTGTGGGGCTTTTTTCCCCCAAAACTAGTAGTAGTTGTTGGCTCACAGTCTGAGCAGTCAGGATTTATGGAGTAATTTTGCTTAATCCTACACACACTAGCCTGCAAAGCCATCTCTATATAAAAATACCCGGTTTTATCCTTGACAAGGCGAAACACTGAACAGTTAGCTTCAGTTAAGTCAGATGTAAACAGTGTTAGTGTTTCTGTGTACTTTTGTGGTTAATTAGCACAAGAGAAGATGCCTGAAAACTACAGAAGGAAGCTTCACAAAAAAAAAGTATCCATTTGCCTGAATTTGTTCTCTTATAAAACAATGGTTTGTTAAACTCTGATTCTTACTTCACAGTTTTCTATATGGGAAAGAAATGTTCTGACTTACATCGCTGCAATTCTCTTACAGGATTCGCCTCACCTATTTAACACAAATCAGCCAGAATTTTTGTCATTCTATAGTCTTTGCAGATCCAGTACAGATTAAAAACAGTAAAGTATATTCCAGTTTATGAAGGCATCTTTGTGATCACAGTTGAATTTTTTTTTTTTCAGTATCACTTAATGCCATTTTTGTTCCTTCTATGAAAAGAAGCAGTTCATCCAATTTACCTGTATTGTAATATCAGTTGTTATGTCGTCATTTTAAATTAATTTGTTAAGGAGTATTCATCTAACTCCTTTTTCTTGTAATGAATGAAGTAGTTAACTTACATAATTTTGTATGCAAGAACTATAGAAGGAGACACCAACTCCATTAAAATAACATACCCTGAAATTACTACTGATGATGCTAACGAAAAGGAAATTGTACGAATCTTACTAATGGAAAGGACTTTTTGTTTTCTTTTTAAAGGTGCAGAACGTGTCATTACATTGAAAATGGAAATTCCTGGATCCATGCCACCTCTTATTCAGGAAATGTTGGAGAACTCTGAAGGACATGAACCGCTGACACCAACCTCAAATGGAAATACCGCAGAACACAGTCCTAGTATCTCACCTAGTTCAGTGGATAACAGCAGTGTCAGTCAATCCCCTATGGTGCAATAAGACATTTTCCAGCTACTTCAGACATTCCTAATACCTTACGTACAGGGATGAAAAGCAAGAAAAACATTTTTACTGCTGCTTAGTTTCTGGACTTAATATATATCTATATATGTATATATATATAGATAAAAACTCAACAAGGACCAAGAAATTTTCATATGTATCGATATATACTCCTTGCTGTTTAAACTCTTAAAACTAGAAAATGCAAACTTTTGAAACTCTAAATCAGCCATTTCATGCAAAAAAATAGTTAAGCTTCTGTTTTCTCCTCTGAACGTTCAAGACCGCATGGTGACAAGACAGATCTCAAACTTTAAATTCTGGTTGCATTTCTGATGACTTTGTACATACAAATGTATGGCTGTACTTTCTATACTGGATGTTTGGTGCTTTCCTTTTGTCTCTCATACCTAAACCGATCAAGACACCAACCATATGAAATGGACTACTGTACACATCCAGAAAAGGAAGTTTAAAGGACCATCTGCTTTAGTTTAATATGAAAACTTGTCTTTGATGCCCTCAGTTTGCATCTCCTTCCTTGTAAAAAGTATACAAAAATTCACTGCACTAGCAGAAAAGACATCAGTGTCAGCATTAACTGCCAGATCAGTTACTCAGATGTCATTTGTTCCACTGTTAATGTCACTTTAAAATTTAAAGAAGTGGTTTCTTACCTGGCTGGTGACCTAGCTACACAATCAACTACTACATTTCTACAGTAATGATAGCCTCCAAGGCAGAAACACTTTTCAGTGTTACCATGTTTTTGTTTACTTGTTCACAAGCCATTAGGGAAACTTCATGGGATGATAACCAGCAGACTCATTTACAGCTTTCGAATCGATGAGTCTAGGGTATTTCCTTAAGGATCGACTGCCAGGAATTAGCTGGGTTATCCAGCCTTCCAGGTGCTAGGGAAGTACAGCTAGGAATTCCAGAAACACAAGGAGAGAATCTGCCTTCTTGGCCTTGTTAAATCACCATGAAGCAGAGTGAAAACTGTGGTAGAATGGTTAACAGATTTAAAGTGTCAGTTTCTTAGGTTTCATTTAAAGCACTAGTGGATTTTTTTTTTTTTTATATATCTAGCAAGTCTGTGATGTACTTTCACTGGCTCTGTTTGTACATTGAGATTGTTTAACAATGCTTTCTATGTTCATATACTGTTTACCTTTTTCCATGGAGTCTCCTGGCAAAGAATAAAATATATTTATTTTAAAAAAAAACCAAACAGCTGTGTAGAAGTAGTCCCTCTAGTCCAAAAGTTACACACACACACAAACACAGTAGTTTTCCATTTTTTTTAATGTTTAAACTTCATTTCAAAAAGCAGGTTTGCTGTTTGCAACCATGACAATTAAAATGTGCTTTAGCACAGCTGTCTAGAACATCTCTACAAGCCAGTCAGACAAATACATGACATTTCAATGAGTAAAAAAGAGCATAAAACTGTAGGTGTAAGAACAAAATGTTAAAATGCCTACACACAATAATAAAAACCATCAATTACATTATCACATAAAATAAGTCAAATGTACAAAAGTTTGCGACAGAAGGGACAAAAGGACAACACAAGATATTTGTTGGAAAACATTTGTGTGCTCTTTGGGCACTTAATTAAACATATCAAAATCATCATCTTCATCAGACTCTGCAAAATATTTAACTTCTTTTCTAGCCCGGCCTGTCCGTGGCTTTGGGGCAGTTTCGGAGGCAAAGCCTGACTGAAAGATTTCCACATCAGAATCCTGGTCAAAAGCAGCCTTCTTGGATTTCTTTAAAAAAAGACAAGACAAATCAGTTGTGATGCTGTGTACGTTTTCCCTTTTAAGATTCAGAATTGAAGGAAATCTTCTCTAATGTCTCACTTTCCAACCACACCTAAACCCCATTATCATTTTAGCATCCTATAATAAGAACATGTACCTTTTATGTAAAGTACTCCGTTAGGTTCTTTTTACAAGGAGAAAAGAGCATAGATGGAACTGACCTTGCCTGGTGTTGATTTAGGTGTTTTCTTCCCAGGGTTGTATTCACCTTCATTTTCGGAACTGGATGCTTTCCTTTTCTTTGCCCCCCTACCTTTTCCTAGGTGAGAGAGTATGCTTTAACTTTGTTTTCTTTTTCTTTTTTTTTTCCCCCTCCTAGAAAACCTAGTGAAATTACTTTAGTATGTCTACATGTTAAAGTTCAAATCTAGCTTCAACTCAGGCTTCTTCATACAGTAAAATACAATATATCTTCTTTTCTCAGTTTTAAATCTTTTATACTTCTTCCAAAGTTACCATTCACCCTAGCAATTCGAGCTGTCGGTTCAAGACAGGGACAAACTTCATTAGATCAAGGACTTTGAGACTTCTGAAGTACTACAAGTCCTCAGTCACCTTCTGTACTGATTACACAGCATTAATTCGCCTCTACTATTTAGTACATTTACTGTTAACCTCAACTATCAACACTGGCACATCCTTTACCGGCTCTTCTGACTACACTGCTTGGTGAGCTGTGTTGTGAGGGCTCTGACAATGGAGAACTGGGATACCAAAGAATTGGTTTAAAAAAAACAGAAAACACTATTTACTAGAATTACTACCAGAATTTTACTGTCTTGTAAAAAGCTGACATCAAAGTAAATAAGCAGTATCCAGTAGAACTGATGAACCAAAAAGGGCGGGGTTGGAACTATTCAATACATTCCCAACAGTGAAGGGCAGATAAAAAGTTCACGCATTGTTTGTCAAGAAAAGTCAGTACGCTCTATTTGTCACAGAAAAGGCTCATGGCTGAGTAATCTACTAGCGATTAATTTACTAATAAATCAATGTGATTCTAGTTTTAGAGACGCTAGTTGTGCTTCCTCATAAAAGTGATTGTGAACCTGTGTTACAGAGAGTACAGACGTGAGTGTTGAACTGCACAGCACCAACACTCTTACCTTTGTTGCCGAATTCTGAATCTGAGTCAGAGTTTACAGTTTCCACCTTCTTGGCCTTGGGAGCTCTTTTAGGTTTAGGGGGCACATCTAGTTTTGCTGTTAGAAGTTAGAGATACTAAATATGTTAAATTCACATATTGGTTAGAAGTATTAAATTTTATTAGATACTCCAATTACAGCATAAATGGCAGATATTAAAACAAGATGAGAGGTTTCTGCACTTGGAGAAAACATACTTCAACTTTTATGCTAAAACTGCGTGGAATAAACAGAAGGTTTCCTTTGTCATACTTCGAGATATATCAGTGCATTCAGTAAGTTCCAGTGTTTTTGATTAAATACTTTTTCATCTTTTTGAGCACAGAACAGGTTACCAGTAACTACAGCAGCAACAGAAGTTCTCCAAGTTGGATACATTAAACACATTTGGATACATTACAGTGTTTACAGATACAGCTTGCTGCTTATGACATTTTTGCCTTCACAGTGGTATAACTGCAGGACAACCTTCCCCATGATTACTGCAGGAGTTTGAGAGACAGTGCATCTGACTCCGTGACATTGTTTTCTGTCAACCTCAGTGAAAAGGAACTTCAGCAAAAGCAGAAAGGACAGGAAGGGGACATATCTGTGGATTTCTTAAAGAATTTTAATTACTGCCATGCAACTAGTTTTGCCATCTTTAAAAGACAGTCATTGCTATGTTCACACAATGGGTGATAAGGGATAGAATCACAGAATGATTTAGGTTGGAAAAGACCCTTAAGATCATCGGATAACATGTTCTATAATGCTTACAGACGAGTCAGTCTTTTGCAGAACCCTCAGATACACTACTGACCTACACTCTATCAATCAGCCACGAATACCTCAAAGATGATGAGATGCATGTGAAAACACTCCAGCTACCAGGAATGTGGACATTTGTGAGAACTCAAGCTTTCATGTATGGTATCACTAGAGGAATGTGTTCAGACAAGAAGAGAGTGTCTCCACAAACTGTTTGGCTATGATGCCTTAAACTGCTACCCACTGGAGAGTCACTGCACAAAGACAGTTACGCCTTTCCAGCTTTTTGTGATAATACCTACTGGGTAGTCCAAGTATCAGGTCCTGACAATATAAAAAATAAAGCCTTCTTTGGCATCATGGATAGGAAAAAAATGGTGTTGGCTATGGCAGCATTTCAGGTAAGACGTGGGGAGGGAAGCAACAATGCCTAGGATGGAAGTCAGGAACCATATGTGAAAGCAACCTGAAATAGCTCTCTTTAGGTATCTCAACTGGGAAAAACCAGCTGTATTAGCATAAAGTAAAACTAAGTAAGCCACAAAGACCTACCAGTAAGCAGGAAAAAGTACACAGCAACTGAAAGCAGAAGGAATACTTTCTATAAGCATCACCAAAAGTAAGTAGCTAGTTATCAGTAAAGGAGGGGGCAGTGTTAGCTGAAGGTACATGATTTTAGGTCCCATAAGGCAACGAAGTCCTTCATACAGGAAATAGCTTTTCCAGCATAAGAAACATAGACTAGGGGGCAGGGAAGGGAAAGATTCAGAAGTTTCATCAACTTGAAGATGACAAGCAGAAATTGTGACCAGGAGAATCTTAGTAGAATGGATCCATTTTAGATCTAGGTAACATTCAACACCAGGAGCTGAGGTTTAGACATCCTCCTACAGTATTGTGTATGTTTTGACCAGGTAATTGTGCCTTGCGCAGTTCCTCATGCTGTTAATGGGAAATTTGCATACCAGACAGAAGCCATGCTCCAAGTGTGCTCCATTGACAAATACTACCCAGCACATACAGCCTGAGATGTAACTGTCTTCAGCTGGCCCCGAGTCCTCAAGTTTGTTAACTGATGTTAGAAAAGGGGCAGACTTCTCACTGACAAACAAGGAACTGGGGAGAAGGAAATAACTGGGGAATGAAACAGAGGTATGACACACTGCCACAAACACTAGACTTGTTCTTCCCTTGAAACAGAGCCTGTCATCACTGGTCAACTCCTGTGAAGTCTGCCTGCAGAACACCAAGTCCAAAGGACAGCAAACCTCTTAATTGTTATCTGGTGGCTAAAGTAATAGTGTCCATGGCTTCCAGAACATGCATCTCCCTCTGTACTAACTCTAGTGGGATTCTGAACTGCTACCTTAGATTATATACCTAATGCCTGCACAAGTGGGAAGGATCTCTGACAGCAACTAGGCCGCAATCAGCTCAGTCAAGCTCTCCACTAGGTATTCATGACATGAAATGGAAGTCTGCAGTGGGGTCGATGTACACCGGCTCTCAAGAAGCCCAAGTTTTTGGTAGGAAGTTCAGGAATGGTATCAGTCCTACAGCTGATGCAAAGGATATGTTTCACTGCTAGAATTTCAACAGCTGGCTGTGCTAATCAAGGTGAGCAGCTGCTTATAATCAAAGAGTAAGACTGCTTTTCAAATTTCCCTGAGGCTTACCATAAAGCACTAGAACCACAGACCTCTCGAATAGTGCATGGAAAGCAACCTCAGCAGTTTCTTGATCCTCTGTAGTGAACACCAGAGGTCAAGAGATTTCATCTCAAATTGACTGAAGTCTGAAAAGAAGCTGAACTCATACCTATTCCTTTATTTCTTCTCATTGAGAAGGGAATGTGGCTGTACAGATAGCAACAAACGGTTCTTCAGTTTCAGCTTTCCATCCTTAGAAATCCAAGCTCTGAAGTCATGGAAAATCAAACAACTCTGGAACAATTGTTTCAGCCACACAATAGGCATTCCCAGTGTGAGGATGAGTGGATGGAATATTACAATACCAGAAAATGGGTTTTGAAGGTGCTGCTGATACAGGGCATGAAGATTAGAATCAAGGAGACTACTAACAGGATACCAGATGACCAACGAACTAAGCATATTAGGTCATCACTGCACTGTCAAACTGTGATCATGAAACTGTGGTCATGTCTAATCTGGGCAAAGGAGAAAAGATGAAAACTGGTGAAAGCAACCTGTCATATTGTCACACGCTGAGAGGAAGACTGTGTCCCTACTCTGAAGGCAAAAATTTAACTTTTGCTTGAAAGAGAACCTGGCCTGTTTATACCTATTTTGTGAGTGTAAAGGCTGATTAGAAACTCAGAAACACATCACAGCTGTATTTTAAGGTTTCAAGTTAGGTTAATGACAACTCGTCACATCCAGGCCTTCAAAAAACAGAGAGGGAAAAAGAGATTGAATGTCAAATTGCATCCATGCCTAGCTACTGCATACACAGTTCTCTCTTGTATTTACTACAGTACAGAAGTTTAACATAAAAGACTATTCTATTAGAGACCAGCTATTTCTGTAAACAATCTTCATTCATTGTATTATAGAACTTTACTAGCTGAAGGTGTTTGAGAAGTATTCAGACATTCACCGATTCAAACAGTTTACAAATTAGATTAGACACAATGCAGCAAGAAAGAGATTAGAAATAGGGAAGCAATGGGGCAGAGGATGAAAAGATGCTGCAATTCACTGGTACCTAATATATAACATAAGATATTTTTTTCTTATTTTTAAGAGAGCAAGTTAACTATTGTAACTGTCTGCTTTCTTGCAGATTAAGTTCAGCTGCAAGTTGGTCAAAAGAAGTTGTAAAAAACAAAGGCCATGGTACCACAGGAAAAAAAATGCTTTTAGAGGACAGAAGATTGAGCAAGAAAAAAGGAAGTTATCTGAAAGACATACAGGAAGAAAGATCTGAAAGCAACAAAATCCCCAGCCTATCATGTCCTAAGAACTGTATTTTACAACCTATTTAAACTACTATTAGGTAAGAATAAACATCATTTTCACCATTGATTATGGCAAGTATTTAGTATAATCTTTAAAACACATTTAGAAACAAGTGAAAGTCTTTCTCTTAAAAGAAGCACTAACAACCGATAAACCAATATTCCCCAAGGTAGACAGAGCAAAAAAACCTTATTCCTACAAATACCCAAGCACAGCCACAGAAACAAATCTAAATAACAAACACGCTCTTCTTGGAATTGTCCTTAATTCCGCAATGTAAGATCCTGCAAGATGCCAGTTCCAAAGGCCTGACTAATAATTGAAAGAATTTACACCTCTGAAGTTTGAGGAGAGCCTTTCATCCTCCGTTTCAAGAAGAAAAACAACTGTGCCAAGTGGAACTTACTGTGATAGCCTACTTAGGACATAAATATTTCTTGGGGATTCCTCCTTTGCCCTTGCTCTCCTTCCTTTTAAAGTAAGTTAGAACCATTATAGAAGACTATCTTCAACCCCAAAGTCATCATGTTTCACTTATTCCCTGAGGGTAAAAACCTCCCATTAGTTAAACAAATCAAAGGCTGAACACCAACTCCATATGTGGAAAGTATTAAGTTTTGACACTGCAGTAGTCAGTGAAAAGAAATAAATTAGTATTATGAAGGAGCTGGAAGAAGTTCACACCCTATGCTGAATTTCACTGAGTTCAAAATAAACGAATGCAGTTCCCACTTTGAAGATGTGAAGAGACAATGCAAAGGTGGAGGAGGTGAGTTTTAAATAAATGGATTGGCTTACAGGACAATCCTATACGTACCCTTTTTAGCAGCTACTGTTTTACTTGGAATTTTCTCTGTTTGTTTTGGGGCAAAAGATGATGAGAAAACAGGAGCAGAATCCTCTTCATCACTGTCCAATTTTGTTGTATCTACAATCACAGAGTATGTTTAGAATAAGATTCACTGCATATTTTAAATCATCAATATTAATTACAGTCAAAATTAAGCTCAAAAAAGTGCTTCTGATACTACAACTAGGCTATGGATGTACTGTCTTTTTTTATATATATTGTATATAAATATGTATAAAAAAAGACTTTCTTATCTATGATACAAGCTTTGTTCCTCTGAGGATCAGAACCTCCTTCCCCTTTCCCCTTTAGAAATCTGGGCATCCTTCTATAACTACTGTTATAGACACACGCTAACTGTGTGAAGTTTGTGTATACCACAAACTCCCTAATATATTCCTAACAGTTGCTATAAGATTAAATAGATCAGTGAAAACAAGCTCACCATCATCTGTCTTCTGCGAGTAAGACGGAAAAGAGAAGATATTCCCAAAATCTTGATTCTTCTTGTCTTGAGACATTTTTCTACTTCCAAACAGGAAAAAGAAAATGTATGAATTGCATTAACTACATACTGAAGTATGTAGACATTATAATATCCCTATGAGATTAAATTCCTGTTTTAGTACTACAAAGCATTTCTAGCATTTTTGTATATGCTTGCAGCAGTCAAACCCTTAATGTCACCATTCAGTCACGAACTTCAGGCATTTAAAATTAACAGAATTGCTTTTTTTCAATAGTTCTGTGTACCAGACTGGCACAAGATGGAAAACGGAGAATCTTACAAAATGCAGTTTAACAGATGGTATTACTGACAGCGTACCATAATTTTGTAAGTCATGTTTACCTCTGCGTAGGTCAATTGCAAGGCTGAGATAACATATGCTTGAATTCCTCCCCAGAAATGTATAAATTTTACTTTACATGGTACATGTAGAGTAGTACCAGGTTGATGTTTCTCAGTTTTGTTCAGAGACTTCTGCATTCAAGAAAATTATTAGTAAAGAAATACTGCTGAGTTACAGTACTTACTCTGGAGATGGCTTTGATTTAGCTGGGGAGAAGTCATATTCATCTTTTTCTAAACTGTCTGAGGGAACAAACTCATCCTCTCTGTCATTTGTAACTGGAGAGGCTTTTACTTTGAGCTCATCCAAATCATTGTTATTGTTGGCATCATCATCATCATCGGCATCATCTTCTTCTTCTGAGAAGTCAAAAGTGTACTTGGGCCTCTCAGCTAAAAAATATCACATATATACACATTTCAGGATAGTTGTTTATGTTAACACATAAATAAATTAAAGTGGAAGTCACTAAACAACCCCTGCCTCAGAGTATACAAGACAAAAGGCTGGGGGAAAAGAAACTTGTTTGAGCCTGGAAGAATAAAGGGACATAATTTAAAGTGCTACCAAACATCTAACACTACTTGTGGCTTGCTCAGACACCTTCAGCTAACGGCATTATAATGACACCACTGTGTAAGTACTTTTAAGGAATGAGAATCCTTCACTTAAAATTGAGGTTTTCTTGAATCTATTATTTGAACATTCTTCCTAATCAAGAAAAATTGATCAACAATTTTCCAGAAAAATCTGTGTGTTTTTATTAAACTATCAAATATTTATATATTTTCCAAACTTTCAGTCTCTGATATTTTTGCTTTTCATGGACTGTTCAGAATTTTTTTGATAAATTTTTACTAGCCATTTGGGCTTTTGGGCCTTATTTGACAGTATAATTGCATTAGAGTAACTTTTTTGTTTGTAATTGTGTTATCTTGTCTATTTCTTGTATAATTCACTAGTTTTGTGAGTAATTTCTCCTCTAGTGTTTAGAATAAGGGAAAAGATTTCTGGACCAAATTACAAAATCTTTCATATCAACTCTTAAGTTCCTGGTCTTGACATTAAGAGTTTTTTCACTAACCGCACAGTGAAGAAAATGTAGTGCAAGCTATCTGTAGGAGATGAAGTTCTAAATGAAGGCTATGGTCAAAGGAAAATGCAGGTTTGTAATTTAAACTTTCAGTCACAATGCGCAATTCACAAAAGCTTGGGTACCTGCAGCTCTCCTAAGCAGAGAGTCTCTTGGAATAATCACGGGCTCATTCTCTTCTAAGTCACTTTCAGACTTGGATTCATCATCTGACCATGGGTTTCGTTTCTTCACTTTTTTTGCACTGGACTTTGTAGATGATGGTGTTCTTCTTACCCTAGTACCTGCCACAAGTTAAAACATTTACTACAGTCAGTAAGAAAATATTTTCATCTTTTCTAATCATTTATGATGCATAAATTTAGCATAAATTTTTATCTTAAAAAGTTGTCCTTTAAATGTTGTAAATTTTCTTCTCCTTCCTGAAGAAAAGTTTAACTTGATAAAGTGATTTCACACAGAACCTCACCTGCTGCTGCCAAACAAATTTGGTTTATGAGTGAAAAACATAAAAGTCTCTAATTTGAAGTTTTAGGTCCTCTGCAGTCAAACTTCCCTTTTTTTAAAGGTTGCTGGGGTTTTCCAGGAAAAGAACAAGCAGTTTTCCATTATTCAGGAAACACGATCAGAAACAGTTATTGGAAAAATCCAATTAAAATGGGAAGCAGAGGATACCCTATTGGGGGGTAACTATGCAGTCAGTCAGTTGCAGGGCAAGCTCAGGTCAAGCTGGGCTAATTGGCTCTGGCTTAACAGCGGCTAGGGTAGATTTGAGCTGCATGTAGACAACACAGTCATAACTGTACTCAGTTAATCTATTCAGGTTGGATAATCCCCTGAATAATTAAAAACAGATCTTATCTCAGAAAAAGTATTTGAGTAACCACTTTTTATGCCTTTTTTTTTAAAAAAAAAAAAAAAACCCTCATACTTAAACCTTCTCTTCTGTCTTTAGCTTTCTTTTGTTGCTGCCCGGTATTGGGTTTGTATGGCAAGGTTTCGGTAGCGGAGGAGCTACAGGGGTGGCTTCTGTGGGAAGCTG